GACTTTGCACAGTAGGGGTATCTGGAGTGCAGAACCAAAAGCACCTCATTTTGTCCCAACCTTCTCCCCTGGCCTAGGCAAGATTCATAACATGTGATGCAAACCCCAGCTCTATAAAGCCACATCAGCAGGACTTGGGCACATAGCATCAGTTCCTCTGGAGAGTTCGCTTTGCTCTTCAAAGGAAGGAACTTACCTTGCAGGGTAAAGAGTCTGTTATCTCCTGTACCAGGTTAGTTATCCCACCAGGAACAATGTGATATGTGTTAGAATCACCAGCACCCAGCCATAATGGCCTAATTGTAAGATGTCAGTCCACACAAATGCCTCCTCAGACATGTGGGGTACACAGCCAAGGAGATTCTGCTATGCTTGTCACTTCTGCACTCCCTAAGTAAATATTGCTCAGGAACCTGATGAGGTCAATTAATGACATAAATCATGTCACAAAATGATGCAATTTTTTCATGCTACTCCCTGGATTAAGTATTTTAATGGTTTTCCCTCCCCTGTCATACACATGGACAACTTTCTGTGACACTGTGGGCCATAGAAGTTTGCTCCAAGACAATTGTCATCTTCATGGTGAATCTGAGCTTTGTAGCCACAGCTGAGTGTGTACAAAGCCAGGATTGACAGCAAATTTATTGGGTTCATTTCAGTTTTTATTTGTACATATACAGATTGTATATTTAGATTATTTCTGATTATCTCTACATTGCCTTAGTATTAGTGATATGAACTCCTACAGTGTTGATCTACCTTTCACACCCTCCATTGATAATTTTTATCTCCCAAAACTTATTGGAGCAGATGTGGTGCCTCACACCATGTGACTGTGTGAGTATCTAGGCATCAAAGGTTCAAACCCCCCATCCACCAGCTTGTCATCCTTTGATTTGCTAAGGAATGCTTTATCCATGTGTCAACAAGGCAGGGTTCTTCTGGCAAATCCACTTCTGGCGTAATTATATTGAATCTTCCAAAATTACCCTAATCCTCTAATATAAATACAGGTCTTAGAATGAGATAATATACTCTTGGTCAGTTTATTACAGAAAAGTATCTCAATTAAAATCAGCAAAGGCACAGGGGTTAACTCCCAGAGCAAATAGATGCAAGTGCCCGGTGTGCTCTCCCAGTTTATTCTTTTGTCCACCTTCAATTCTCCCAGCAGTGACCTCTGATGACATATGTTAGGGGTTGTTGTGGGGGACTGAAATATATTTTCCTAGTTTAAGAATTAAAGTTAGTGAGTAATGTACATGTTCTGCCCAGAGTATTTGAAAGTAATGTGTTCTGGACAGGCTCCCTGTGATAAACAAAGGTGTTGCTTAGAGGCATAACAAAGGACCTGAGTGACAACTAGCAAGAGTAGCCCTGCCCCATGGCATTGGGGGTCTGGAGGCCGCAAGGTAAACACCTCATAAGATGGCTGGTTAGTCAATGACGGGTAAAACCCCTCAAGGGAGGGATGACCTAAGCCAGGCACAGACACGGGGGGTTCAGCGGAAGATCTTAGGGGGTCACCCTAAAAGAAACTGGGGATGAGAAATGCCCCCTGTGGCTCACCTTGGCCATCCTTGCTAATCTCGGTCCTTTATCTATGCCTCGTGCCTAGAGCAACCACCTTGAAATTCTGAGTCAGAGGATA